TTAGGGCTCTAGTGACACTGAACACTACTCAAGGCCTGGTTTTTTGGTTTAGGTTCACACCAGAAACATTTGATAGGATTAGGGTGACCAGATGTCCCGATTTTATAGGGACAGTCCTGATTTTTGGGTCTTTTTCTTATATAGGCTCCTATTACCCCCCACCCCGTCCCGATTTTTCACACTTGCTGTTTGGTCACCCTAGATGGGATTACAGCCTTGCACTGCTCCCTGTCCCATGCAACAATCATGGAACTCTAGCATTCCTGGGTGGCTTCATGACTGGCTAAAGCCACCTAGAATGTGTCAGAGTTAATCATGTGGGTGTGTCCACTTCAGGCCCAAAGACTGTGGACTGACATGGTTCATGGGGGGAATGTGGGTCCTAAACTTTCACTCACCCACTCTGAACCCAAATGGTCTGTTCTGGGTAGGCTTACTGACCTCAGACTCTGACTGATCCAGTGGGTGTCAGTTACACAGAAATCTAATTGGACTGGCCATGGTCAATATGACTCAGTTTGCTGGGGGTTATGTCCAGTCAGTCTGCCTAATAAAGCATGATCCATAGGAGCAGCTGGATGAAAGCCCCATCTCCTCAACTCTCACACATACTTCTTAGCAGGGCTTGACCCTACTAACATATGCAAGATGAGGTTTGCTCTTTGCAATGGATTGAAGTATGTGAGGCACTCTTATGAGAAGGCCACAATACTAGGTTGCGCCATTGCTAGGCATGGGTAGAAAGTCCGAGGATGGGATCTTACCAGGGGATGCCAGCTCTGGACAGCCAGTGTTAGGCGTCTGGCCAAGACATCATCTAGATTCTCAATACAGCTTGGGTAGATCTGAGTCTGTTCAGCAGGGACTCTCGCTGCTTGGTTTAGGTTTGGTTATTTAACAAAAGGTAAGGCCAATTTTACCTCAAATCAAGTATTCAATCCTGTTAGATGCAGAGCACCCTATACTCCTATTAAAGTGAGTAAATATGTAGAGCGTGCTCAGCACCTTGCAGGACTGTGCCTCAACTTCTTACTTGTGACCTGATGCTTTAAGATACAGCTGGGGATATAGATTTTTATTTGCTTGTTTGCACATACTTGTTTTATTTCTGAATAGATATTTATACCGACTGATCAGTGATTAATCTGAAACTAGTAATGTTTTTCATTCACTTTTGGCACTGTCCCAGTATGTCCTACTAAATTATTCTACAGCAAGTTATACTCTAATTCAAAATCCTAAAAGCACAGTATGAGTCAAAGAAGGTCTGATGGTTAAAACAAATACCTACTTTTATTTTCACAGTTGCTTCACATTTGTTTCAAAATGGAATGCCAACAAAAGATTGATCATAATTGTGGCATGAGACATTTTACAGCTTACATTTAAGCAATAATGTCTATAGTCAACATTGTAATGATGTCAACATTTTCTCTCTCTCAATAAAACAGGTTCTAACGTCCAAGAGGATCGTGAGCGATGGCTGAATATATAATAGCTGCGATGTTTGCCTACAGAGTCACTACACTAGTAACTAACCTGAATATGAAAGGCTGTATATAAAAACAAATTTTATTCTATTGAGCTGGAGTATACAAGCAATAAACAGCTTTTGCAGTTGATTAAATGTTGAAGCAAAGTTAAGGCATTTAATCAACTGCAAAGCCCATTTAACATAAGTATACTCCAATACCATAGGTAGTATTGATATTATATATGAAGAGAAAATGTTCATTCAATATATCTCACAAAAACAATTTTCTTCCCAGAGGCCTGGGAGCTTAGATGTGCCAATCTTTGAAAGTCTTTCTAGTGATGCTGATTTGGGGTATATAGTTTACATGAATAATTAAATGGCCTCAGGCATAAACAACAAATAATACTAATCCTTAGTATTTACATAATGCTTTTCATCCATAGGTCTTTAAGTGCTTTAAAAGAGGGGAAAGATTCCCCCCATTTTAAAGATGAGGAAGACCGAGGCACAGAGAAATTAAGGCTTACTTTTAAAAAAAATGTCCACTAGCTTTGGTGCTCAATTGGATGGAGACACCTTCGGCCTACTTTTCAGATTTTTCAGAGCATCTACAGCTTCCATGGAGGTCAAGTGAAGTTGTGGGTGCTCAGCATCTCTGAACACTAAACCTTGGGTGCTGTCAATTTAGGGCACTTAAAAAAGGAGGCACTAAAAATGAATGAACGCTTGGGAATTTAGTTCTAAATTACTTGTTCAAAGAACACTGAGATAACTTTCCACAATTCCCTTTGTGTTCTTTGACTCCGCATGAGTCACTAATTACTACTCAGGCGTGTGTCTATAAATGGTTATGGGACAAATTTTGTCTCTGCTCCCATCCATGTAGCTAAAACAGCCCTGCAGTAAATTAGCTTTGCAACTACAGAGACCAATGCAAATCTGGTGTGGGACCGAGCAGAGGTTGGTTCCCCAAACTAGCATTTATGTGCTGACATGGCTCTCCAACCTCTTTCCAGTCTAACTTCTATAAATGATAATTGTATGCTGGAGCACTTCTTCAGGGCAGGCACTGCTCACATGAAGTGACTTCTGGCTTTCTGGCCCTGTCTCCAGCTGGGGAGAGAAAAAAAGGGAATGAGGGGCCTATGATCTGCATGAGTACTCAGGAATGAGGAGCTTATTTATGAAGCAGAACCCTCGGGTCCCACTTACAACTAGCTCAGCTCTCCCTAAGATCAGTCCACAGCTCATTTATATGGTTGTATGAGGTTACCACATAAAGGCGAAGGGCAAAGAGCAGGCTCGTAGCATCAGTAAGAAACTGTGTATAATTGATGTGGGGACAATTTCCAGAATCTGTAGGATATGCGTGAGGCTGAAGTTGTTAGCTTCTAGTACAATAGCAATATTCTTTAAGTACCACAACATTATTTAGGCCACAGCTTTTAAATATGTAAAAGACTAGGGAAAAATGGCATTCATTAGAAGCCACCTCTCTGTAAATAAATCCCACTTTTAGATTTCTAAAAAATTGTCTTAATCACACAGAGTTTCACTCAAATTCCTAGCACTTTAACTGTCTTTAGAATCATCAGGAATGTGGAGTTAAAGAGTTGTGGGAAGTTATCTTAAACAGGAGTCAGTGATACAGACTACTTCACAGTTTGTAGGTATAGTATTCTAGTTCTAAACACAGATTAAATGACACCATCAACTTGAAAATTAGTCATCTTTTTAAAAACATGTTAAAAGTAGTTTTAGTGTGAAACTTTTGTCCTTGAATCCCCCTGCCAATTTTTGTGGTTTTGCAATCATATTTTTCTATAGTTTGAAAAGTTTCTTCGTGTGTGTGTGTGTGTGTGAGTGTGAGAAAGACAACAGGAGAAACTGGCAAATACAAAGTGATGTCAAATGCACAAAGTAAACAAGCCAAACAATTCTGTTTTCTTCTCTAATCTCTTTCAAGTGTAATACTCCAAAACGTTACTGGTAATGCTAGTAAGCCGAAGTCTCATTTTTAAGATGATGGTGTCATTTTAAACAGGCTCACATTAAATATGAACTAATGTAGTGTTGTGGCTCAGATAAATCAGTAGACAGTTTGGGCCTGATTCAAACCCTATTAAGGTCAACAAAAGCTTCCCACTGACTTTAACAGGGTTTGAATCAGGCCCTATAACAGTAGTAGATTCAGGTTACTGATTCATGTTGCATAAGTAACAAACTGTTGAATTTCAAAAAGTACTCCTTAGCCAGTGAAATGCTGCCAGGACAATAACAAGACACTCCTACAAGTCATAACCCCCTTAGTCTGTGATAAACCCCATGTACTAGAGGTTGGATTTCTCAGGGAGGGGATGGCAGAAGGACCTATTCATTTGTTTTTCTATTTACATGAAAATAGCCATAACCAAGACGGGGCAGCACCACTAGGTGAACAATTTACCAGTAAATGCATTTGATGGAATTGTTTATATTTTTGTTCCTGAAAAATATACAGAATCTATTGAGAGTGTAGAACAGTGTTCATTCTGTGTGATTTGAAATGGGGTGGAGGTTACTTTATGTTTTTTTGCGGGGTGAGGGGGAGGGACGAGAGGGATCTGAGGAGATACTCTCCATGGGAATTTAAAAGTTAGCTCCATTGATAGCAATTCACTCTCCTTTCCATTTGGCAGTATAATTTAAGAAAGGGCTCCCAGGAGCCCCATCCAGCACTTCATTGGGGTTGGTCTTCTAAACAAAAACACTAGTATTTTTCTCCAAAGCTTTTCTTTAGTGCAAGGATGCCTGGATGGAAGAGGGGCCAATGGAACACTCACTGTGCATCATAAATTTTGGGGGTCATCAAAGGTCACACTGGACCCTCCCAGAGTAAAATCCATCAGAGAGGAAAGTGGGCCCAGGAAACCAGCAAGACAGATTTTGCGCAGTTTCTAGTGAATGCTGTGCTGAGGGGAAAGGGGCTTGGGGATGGAGGGAATAAAAAAAGTCCCCTTTCTCTGCCACCTGCTCTCCAGGTCCCCTTTATCCTTGGGCAGCATGTTTCCTTGAGCAGGTGTAATGGCACCTCCAGATGGGTCAACTGTCTGTGGGATTGCACCCAAGACCTTTACATCTAAAAGGCTGAGCCTCTACGAGCTGAGTTAAAGGACCAGATATATTAGCACCAGGGCAGCAGAGGGGACAAAAATCTCTCATGTGGTCCAGCCACTAGAGGGGGACAGAGGCCCACATTGGGTTCATGTGGGTTACAAAGGCATGCGGCCACTGGCTACCCCGATTGCGATACTTCCCCCTCAGCAGAGAGGGTGTAGTGTGGAATGGCAGCTAATGACTTCTATTGGCTCAGGGTATTGTGCAGGCAGGGCCGGCTCCAGGCACCAGCTTACCAAGCAGGTGCTTGGGGCGGCCACTCCGGAGAGGGGTGGCACGTCCAGCTGTTCGGCGGCAATTCAGCGGACGGTCCCTCACTCCCACTCGGAGCAAAGGACCTCCCGCCGAATTGCCGCCGCAGATCATGATCGCGGCTCTTTTTTTTGTTTGTTTGTTTGGCTGCTTGGGGCGGCCAAAACCCTGGAGCTGGCCCTGTGTGCAGGGTGAATGTCTCAGAGTTGCTGCTTTCTTCCATGCCCCCTTATCAATTTCCAGCCACTCCTGCTCTCGTGTCTGTGGAGGTGATCCTCCAGCCCTAAGACATTTAGCATTACTCTCTCTTCACTTAAACATACAGAAGTAGGAGAGAGATGAAAGCAGAACAGGAAAAAGCAAACATGTCTAAAAAGAAAATACGCAGCCAGGAAACAGCAAAAAAGTGAGCTTAGTGGGAAGTCTGCAATAGGCAGTTTACTTTTCTAAAAAGACCTTATCTTGTAACGAAAGGCAATATCAGAGTCTGGCAAGAGGATACCAAGGCCCATACGACTGTTGTTGAGCCCTATGGGCTTCTTTTCCACTAGTTCTATGTCAAAGTGAGCCAAGAATAAAATCAGAAACAGCTTCATTTCATTCATTGCAAAGAACCTGCCAGGACACATGCTGATTCCAGAGCCAAAAGGCATCAGAAAGTGTTTCAGCTTTCTTCCTCCCTTGTAGAAGGTGGTTTTCTTCTTGCCATTCTCTATATAACGATCAAACTTATACACCTGAAAATAAAAGACAGGGGGTGAAAATTAACGGAGCAGTTACATGAGCAGTTTCATTTGCAAGAGGGTGCTTCTAAAACCCTGAAGTAAGTTAAGAGCTAAGCCAAGGAACTGACAGCTTCCTCTTTTTAGTCTGTTCACTTAAAATGAGTTTTATGTACCCTCAAATTACCTCACTGCACATTAAGTGGCAGGGGCTGTTGTCTGGGTTGTTGGAAAAGGTGTGCTGCCCCTTTAAGGGCTAGAGAGAGTGTTAGTTGCTATCGCAGCTTCATAGCAGGTCAGCGTGGGGACCCATTCCCACCAGGTGTCTGGAAGAGAGAGGGGACTATTTATGTCCATGCCAGTGCAGGAAAAGCCTTCTTCTGTTCTAATTATGGGCATTTTGAGGCAGGGACAATGATCCTCAGGAAGAGGACAGTTTTCGTTTGTGAAGCATCCTATTCACCCAGGAGGCTACATACATTACTATTAATAATAATCTGCAAAATTTGGCAAAATCCCATTGGTACAATGATTTTGCTCTTTCAGGCAAGGAGAAAATTGATCTACTGCAACCCCCACATTCCCTCTCACGGTGTGGATTGTTCAGGAACTAGCCCTGATAACTTACTATCTGTTTTCTTGTCAGTCGAAGATAGTTTCCATCTGTCTCACTTGTTCACACCTGACTTTCAATGGCTTGCTATGGAAGATGTGTGCAAAGCAGGCCACATGTTAATAAGTGACCGTAGTAGGAAGCGTTTTTCTAGAGTAAGTACTCTAGAATTTACTCCAATAAGTTTAGCTAGTATCTTAGGTCCCATAAATTTAACACCTTTCTGAAGACCTTTAATATCAGGGTCATCGTTAAGGGCTAACTTGAGTTTGTGAATGAAGGAGATGTGGCAATCCTAGCTCAGTCCATGGTGAATTAAACCACTTAAAAATAGTCATGTATGCTTTGAATGAAAATAACAAAACACTTGCTGCTTATGTTCACTCATTAGCACTTGGCCAGTTAGCATACATCTGCTATAGTGCAAGCTTTTGAAAGTTAGACTTGAACAAGCAATTCAGAAACCATCTCAGCTGATAGTAAAAAAATCATAGAAAGTTTACCAGGCAGGTTCCTGGTCAAGCCATACCATGGGGGAAAAAGTGGATTGATTATCTCTTTGCCAGAAAGACAAAAGACACTGCAATATATCAATTTTAAATAAAAATACAAACATAATAATACTGTACATTTTTTGATTGCCTGTTCTATATGTCCTAAGGAAAAATAAAATGACTGTTTCCATAATGCTCTTGAACATCAGTAAAAAACAGTGGTAGAGAGGCTTAGTCTTCTGACTACCAGAACCCTGTTCTATCTATCAGATTAGAGGTTCTTAAACTGTGATCAGCAGGGCCTCCTGGCTGTCAGTAGACTATCTTGAGAAGCAAGCAGTGGAGGTGTCTTGGGCTGGTCCATGAGAAAATCTGACTAGCATTTACTTAGGCTTTGAGGAGTGGGGAAAGAGGTCACCAACACACAGTTACACTTATGTAATATGATACCTAACCATAAGATGTTAATTTCATCAGTGGCCTGAATTTAATATAAAAGTCTGCAGAGGTGAACTTTTAATACTGAACTAATCCACTGAGCTACCTGTTTTCCCAGAAAACTTTTCCCACCCATTATATTCCCCAAATATATGACAAACCCAAGACTGTTCTTTAATAAAATTCAGTTTGCATCTCATATTCAATAGATGTGCACACTACAAATTCAAGAACACAACAGAAGTTATTTTTCCCCTTTTTGAGAGGGTCTCTGTGTTGAAATCAATGTACTCTGCAACGTACTGATAACTCATTCGCCATCAAAATGATAAAGTATATAAACTAAAGCGATACTGTGAAAGCTGAGCAGATTTGATATTGAGAAAATATCCTCCATCTATGGAAACATGGTATCACATTCTGACACTTACTTAGTAAGGGAGACTTCAAGAAATGCTCAGCTACTGATTTTATACATCGAGTTTTCCTTTTTTGTATATGGACAGATAGTTGGTTTTTACTAAGAAATTAGATATTGTGTTCATATCTGTAGCAGTACTTCCATTTATAATTTCTTCTTCTGGCCAGCCTTCAAACAGCCTCAATTATGTTGAGTCGCACCTTACACTTCAAAACGAGTCCCATTGACTTCAATAGGACTACTTGTAGAGTACAATACTATCCAATGTGAATAAGGACATCAGAATCTGGCTCTTTTCCTGCAACCTGATAAACACGTTTTTATTCTTAAACTGGTTGTGTGTTTTATCCAAACAATCATCTTCTAAAAATGTGTAAACAAATCTAATTTCCCTTCTGAAGCTGAACTATGATTTGGTATATATCTGCAACTGTCTTAACAAGTGTTTAAACGAGAAGGATCGATAAACAACCACTTGCTTAGAAAATGAGGGGGCAGGTGAGGAGAAATGATTTAGTTATAAACTGCCACCTCTGTAAGATGCAGTTGGCATTGACTGGTCTTGCTTTGTAAAATCTCACTTCCTATACAGCACACCGAACTAGCAACAACAATCCTTCAGTAAAATCTATGTAAGAGTATGACTATTCAATTTGCATGCAGGTGGTGAACTTCTGAAGTCGTATTAAGGCTGAGCCAGGGTGGATTAATTGCCAGTCTTTGATATTCATTAACTCTAGCTTCAGAAAAAAATATAAGGAGATGACACAATTACCCTCAGAGCTTCACTGCAGAGCAACAGCTTTACAATCTCAAGTTCACAACATCATACTAATTGACCAAAAAGGGGTGAATCCCTATGAAGAGAGGTGAAAAAGCATATGGCTCAAGTAAGACACTGCTATTATAGGGCTTTGGAGAGTCAATGATGCTTTGGGGGCACTTAGTTAAATGATCCACATTATTTGCTATTTAAAGCACCTTCTATTATTCAGCCCTTCTTGGGTATCAAATGATCCACTGCCAAACAAAACCCACATTTAGCCTAAAGTTTATGGTAGTCAATGTGCAATTGTCAATTCCTTTGAAAGCAGTAGCAGTCAGTCTCATCACCATATTTCTCTCTTCAGGCCATGAATCCTTTGACCTACAGGGCCCTAGAAAATACATCTGAAAGTAGGAAGATTTGTTCCACAAGAAGGAACAGCAGTAAAAAACTATCACAAAAAGCACGGCTGCTGCAATGTGCCTGAAGTATGATGAGTAGCACCAGCTGAATGTTTTACCTCAGGATCTTCATAGACCTCAGGGTCCATGTGCAAAATTTGAGGGTAAAGAGCTATCCAGTCTCCTTTCCTCAAACTGACTTCCTGATTTCCTCCAAGCTTGAGAATATAATCCTCTTGGCTGATCCGAATGTTCATGGAAGACGAGCACATTCGTAAACTCTCGTTTAAAGCACTCTCTGAATTTAAACAAAGAGGGAAGGAAAAGCATTAAAATATGGAAGATGATTGGAAGTTATACATGGCTACAGCTGCTGGATCGCTACAAGTTCAGTAGGGCAGGCTAAAAAAATCCCCAATCATGCTAGATACTACGAGGAGGTAATAAACTATCCCGGAGGGGTTGGGGGAAAAGCTGCAATTCTGAACCTTTAGATGTAATTCTCACTGATGGTTCTGAGGCATCTTGTAGGCTTTAGGCAGTAGTGAATTTTGGGTGGAAAGCCATTATTCAGGCATCATGCTGAAAACAACACAATCGAAAGAGATGAATGCTTTATGCATTTACATATATTTTGGAGTAAATACCAGTCAAAGCACTGAAAAGACTATTTAGCCTGCCTTTCAAAAGCTGTCGGTTGTAATAGAAGGACTGTGAGAAAAATCATTTAACTTGTTAATAATGTAGTAATTTTGAGGTATTTTGAGGCGTTTTTTAATATCCAACAAGATATGCTGCCAAACTCTGATTTTGATTATTTTCAGAGTGAATGTAAACAATTTGCTTGGCAATTTTAAAAGAGAAAATTCTTTTATTGAATCATGAGAAAAAACATTCTTCTCAGTATTATGGCAAACAAGATTTCTAACATCATTATATCCTTGAAGGCTCCAGAATCTGAATGTCCTTGCTTTCCCAGTGGCCTTCACCTTTTGCTCCTAGCACGACAGATTTTATGGCTAATTTCCGGCAATTTATCCTGGCAGTTTGAGGAGGAATTCCTTTGGGAATAATATGCATAATTTGCATAAATCATTCTGATAGCATGCATATCAGCATGTAGCTCCTGTCTAGTGCTGCATCTCTCACTTTGTAATCAAAACTGACTATTTTTCCACCAGCATGTATGGGTGCTGTAATATGCGACTTGATTCCTTCTAATCATCAGTGTGAAAATAGCCTAAAATAGAGTTTCAGTTTCACATGATAATACATTTATGACTGTATTAATGCTCTGTATTATAAAATAAACCTCCTCTAAGTGTTTAGCATGGCACCATAATCCCTGCACCCAAAGATTAGTTTATTAGAGACAGTAGCTACACAGCATAGATACATCTGAAAAAGATAATAACAAACGTTCTTTCACTAAAAATTAAATCTGGTGTAGCATGCATAGCAAATAAAGCGGCCTTGGATGCTTTCTCGCAGGAGGTTTTTCCTTAAGCGTGCATTTGTCTAAAGAAATGAGGCTGCGGTCAGCTTTGTGTGGCCAGCGCTGTGATTCAATGTGACGCACAGTGAGTCTGTGCATATTCTTTTGGACTGCCTTCGTTACTATAATCAGGCAGAGTCAAATCGGCTTGTTGGTGACGAAGCCAGAAAAGAACTCTGGTTCCAGAATATGGCCTCTACTGCGGATAGCCACAAGGCACCTGACACGATAGATTTCAACTGGCAGCGCTCTGGCAACAAAACTTTACACGGTACAAAGAAAAGGTCCAGCCTCCACTCTTGTGCTGTCTCCATCCTTGGAAAAATGAAGCTGATAACACCACTTTCGTCTACAATATGAAAATGGTAGCTGACATATGCAGCAACACTGTTCACCCAAGAAATCAAATAAGGAGGAAAAAAAGAAAAGCAAAATAATTATGGACCTGCTGCTGTGAAATAGCAGGTTTACATTTAACATCATGAGCTACACGGTCACATCCTATTGGTTGACATTCTCCCAGGAAGCATGGCAGTCTGTGCCCATTGCAGTATCACAAATGACAATTGGGCAAGCATATCTTATGCAGAAGTTAATCACAATAATGGAGCACAAAGTGTGGCTTAGCGGTCAGATCGTAAATGACAAATCTGTTTTACCTTCCAGTACCAGTTATGTGTGGAAGGCGAGCTTGGCTCTCGCTCTGAGCGATCATGCCGATAATCATTAGATGACAAAAGTAATGAGTCACATTATGATCAACAAAGGAGAATGGAGCTTAGATGGGTTTGCAGTCTAACATTAAAAAATAGACACTCAGCCTTCCACAACCCCGTATGAATGCCGGAGCTATACATTGAGAAGAATGACAACTGCACAATAAAATTGCAGCCTTTACTTGCAGTTGTCATAGTTCAGCAGACACCAGCCAGTGCTACTGACAGACCAGCTGGGTAGCTTGGGAGGTCTTCCATTCTGCACCATGAGGTACAGTAAATTATCCAGCACGGTAGAGCAACATCTGTTTCTGTGCTAGTGCCGAACAAACAAGGCAATTTAAAGCATACCAAGGGATAACCAAGCAGCAAATGAACATGACCCTCATTTTTTTCCCTTCTTACACACACGAGATGCTAAACTTCATTGTACAAGTGCTACATAAAGGGGAAGCCAGGCTGTTAGTTGATAAGGCGTTGTCAGAGCGATTTTACATATTTTCTATAAAGAGAGAGACATCTCATAGTATTGTTATTCTTAGAACCCTCCCACTTCTGTCTTCATTTCTCTTATACCAAAGCTAGCACTCAGCTCTCAATTCATTCTAGATTTTTTAAAAAAAACCTGTTTCAATATACTTATAAATATTCAGTCTTTAAACCTAATTTGCTATACTTAGTTCACATGCCTTCAAGCATTTGTCTTCCAATTTCCACTGAATAAATGCGTACTAATGAGAAATAGAGCAAGCTGCTGAGGCAAAGCTGGGTGACTTGAGCCTGGCCTGCCACCAGCTTGTGATAGGCAGGCAAATTGAGTTAAAATGAAAAGTCTTGTCAGCTGAAATACAACATGGTAGCCAAACAGCAAGCTGTCAATCATCCAGCCAAAACAAGGGACTGCAGGTAATAAAAGGTCATTGCGAATCATTAGTGCATTTGGCTTTCATATGCAAGTTAATTTTAATTAAACATGATCTCTATCTGTAAATGTTTTATAAAACTTATTGTGCATAATGGATTGTTAATTTTATACTAACATTCAGCAGGTAATAGGGCACTATAATTATTAGAGTGTATTATAGAAAAATAGCTATTGAGTATGCAAATATTTTTGGTGATAATTTACATCATGCATTATAGTGTGCCAGCATAAATGATAATGTCTGAAACAAGTGTATCTGTGGCTTACTGAGAACTGAGCAGTACTGACCAGCACATACTAGGGAATATATTTATTTTTTCAAATGTCAGCAACATTTTTTCATGCTTAACACTTGCATTGCAGCTACTTAAAATTTTTCTACCTTTTCATATACATACAATTATTTTTCAAGCAGTTGTCCTTTAGAAACAAATATCTGGAATTCAGCAATGTCATGGGGCAAGAATACTTCACAATATGAATTAATGTAAAAATTATAAAATAAACTAAATAAAGAAAACATGGCTGGAACAAAATGTGCGCTAAATACCATTATTGTTTACTATATATTAGAGCTCCATTGTGAGTCATAATGACTAATAATGTATGTTACTCTGCACATAC